TGCTTTAGGGGCGGGGCTGCCTAAAATACACTGCCTGTAAAACATGTTTGTACTTAACTTATCACATCTGCCAATTGAATCTGAATTGATAAAGAGAATATCGTCGATGCTGCTGCTTCTTTCCCATCAGTGTTTTGGTTGAAGGTTATTAAAGCTGCTCAGGAAGTGTGAACGCAAACACACAGCTGCTACGAAATACCTCCAGGAAATATAATAAAAAGACTGCAACGTGATGTGGACTAGTGTCCGGATGAGCTGTGACATTTCAGAAGGAGAGACGGCCGTCTGCATGTTTGTATAACCCCCCCGTCCTGACAGTCCGTTGTCTCTGCGGTCGAGTCCCCTCTGATTCCCGCTCGGCTCACCGCTCGCTGGGAAAACAAGCGGTGACTTTATTACGGCGGACAGATCTCAGTGAGCAGGTTCAGACGGAGAACAGCAGCACGTATGTAGCAATACAAAGATCATAAACTCCCTCTGACTCTTTTAGATTTATGTTCTGGAAATGGATCAAATGTAGGACTTATTTGATAAGATAATGTCTCATTTTTATATTTAAACATAACATTAACAGAAAACTTTTAATACAAAACATACTGGTCTTCATGTGTGTAACAAACTGGTGATATCTAGTTTATTTCTGTGTCAGTTGTACGTTCATGAGGTTGGGTCTGACTTAGCGCCACATTAACTGCTAAAGACGCAGAATGGACTAATAGGATGAGACGACTGTGTGTGCAGGTGCTCATGGGAGTTGTAGGATCGCAATGTAATGTTGAGAAGTCACCAATACTTTATATTTATATATCAATGCTTCATCCTAACTCTTCATCCTTCTCTTGCAGTGGTCTTCATCGGTGGCAGCGGTCTGTACAAGAGGAATCCTCCACAGGGAAACATCCTGCTGGAAGTCTGCAACTGCATCGGGGTGAGTCCTGTAGGAGCAGTTCTGTCTCCTGTCCACCAACAGTTAGTCTGGTAATGTATATGTGTATATATATATGGTCAATATATTGATTCTGCTTCTTTTTATTCCTGTTCTATTTTGTTTTTTTTACAGTTTGCCATCAAAAACCGCTGGAAGAGATCGAAGTATGACTCCAAGAGGAAGCACTGGTTGGACTGGGCTGAGGAGAAGTACTCGGTAACAGAACGCCGACTGTATACAGTTCTGCAGGAATGAGTCTTAAACCCAGCAATGAGCCTTAAAAACCAGGAATGAGTCTTAAACCAGCAATGAGTCTTAAAACCAGGAATGAGTCTTGAACCCAGCAATGAGTCTTAAACCCAGGAATGAGTCTTAAACCCAGAAATGAGTCTTAAAACCAGGAATGAGTCTTAAACTCAGGAATGAGTCTTAAAACCAGGAATGAGTCTTAAACCAGCAATGAGTCTTAAAACCAGGAATGAGTCTTAAACCCAGCAATGAGTCTTAAACCCAGGAATGAGTCTTAAACCCAGCAATGAGTCTTAAACCCAGGAATGAGTCTTAAACCCAGAAATGAGTCTTAAATCCAGGAATGAGTCTTAAAAACCAGGAATGAGTCTTAAACCCAGAAATTAGTCTTAAATCCAGGAATGAGTCTTAAAAACCAGGAATGAGTCTTAAACCCAGGAATGAGTCTTAAACCCAGCAATGAGTCTTAAACCCAGGAATGAGTCTTAAACCCAGGAATGAGTCTTAAACCCAGCAATGAGTCTTAAACCCAGCAATGAGTCTTAAAACCAGGAATGAGTCTTAAACCCAGCAATGAGTCTTAAATCCAGGAATGAGTCTTAAACCAGCAATGAGTCTTAAACCCAGCAATGAGTCTTAAACCCAGCAATGAGTCTTAAATCCAGGAATGAGTCTTAAACCCAGCAATGAGTCTTAAAAACCAGGAATGAGTCTTAAAAACCAGGAATGGTTAGATTCCTGAAATAAGCACAAGACTAAAGTTACTACAACTTTCATGTAGTGTTGGTTCTGGCACCCCCTGTGGACTAAAGTGGTAGTGTCTCTGAGCACCAGAGTCCCTTTAGAAAACCTCTCATTCTACTGCAGCAGGTCTGACAGTCTGTAATAATCCAAAATCCTTTTTGTGGAGGAAACAGGAAGTGATGACTTCCTGTTGGACTACAGAAATACTTCATTGCTGCAGAACTCTAATAACTCTTGAATGCATCTCTTTGTGTTTGTGAGAGAATCTTCATCTTGTCAATAACGCTTCATGTCTGCGTGTGAACAGAAGCGTCTGATCCAGGAGATTAAGATGGTGCTGAAGGTTCTGGTGCTGTACATCCCGCTGCCGATGTTCTGGGCTCTGTTTGATCAGCAGGTAAGATGAAAGACTTCTGAGGCCTCACTACAGTTCCTCTGTTTAACGTGTCCGACCTCACAGTTCATCTTCAGTGTTCATGTCCTGAAACATCTCAACAACTGTTTGATGGATCGACATGAAAACACTAAAACACTTGACTCTAATATGTCAACAAAATGAAACAAGAACTTTGAACCTTCTTTTATCCAATGTTCACATTCATGTTCTGGAAATGTATCAAAATGTGCACAATTAGTGCATAGTTTGCATATTTCACCACGTGCAGGAAACGTATAATGCGAAACATAATAGTCTTAATGTGAATAATAAACGGGGGATGTTTCATGTTGGTATTTAGTTCATATAGTTTGTGTTGGTTCATGAGGTCACGTATCTGTTATCTCCTCTGACCAACACTCCACATTCCTCATTTAAAAACACCAGTCGTGCCAAATGTCGACCTGCTCTTCGTCTCCAGCAGTCTGCGGTGCCTTATGCTAAGCTAACAGTGAAGCTGAAGCCTTAAATCGGTGTTTGTCTTTACTGCAGGGTTCCCGCTGGACGCTCCAGGCCACCAGGATGAACATGGCTTTTGTAAGAGCTTCCTAACATTTAAAAATAACCTGATAACATCTTTTCTTGCACTCTGATATCAGTGGTGGCTTTTTATACTCATGTTATTGCACAAACAGTCTCGTAAAATGTCCCTTTGTGAGGGTGTTGTTTCAATTTGTCTTTTTATTCCGGTAAGATTCATCCTTTATGGTCTTAATAAACATGCACTCGTCTATTATTGTGCAAGCCTGCACATCCTGTCACAGTGAAGCTCTTTTATTGGGCAATCAGGTTAAAGTTTAAATGGTGTTCAGATGAATACTTCTTGTTGTCTTTCAGGGAGATGCTTTCGTTATTAAGCCTGACCAGATGCAGGTAGGTCACATGTGCAAATATCATATCATTTACATTAAATATGTTGTTGTTGTTTGTTGTTAAATGTTATGCACCTCCCGTCATGTCAAATTCCTTGTATGTTCAACATACCATGGCAATAAACGGTTCTGATTCTGATTCTGATGTGCAAATATCATATTGCATTCTTTAAATATATGCAAATATCATATAATATTTTTTAATATGTGCAAATATCATATTACATTCTTTAAATACGTGTAAATATATTATATGCTTTAAATACATGCAAATGTATTATTTTCTTTAAATACGTTACAAATATAGTTTTTATATATCATGCATCCCTCTGCTTCCAGTCTTTGTGCTAAGCTAAGCTAATCACTTCCTTGTTTCTGACTCCATACGTAACATACACACACACACATAGTATCAACCTTCTCATTCAACTCTCAGAAAGAAAGCAAAAAATGAATCTCCCAAAGTATCAAACAATTCCTTTAATCTTAAATCACACGTTATGGCCATAAGAAGTTCACGGCTGTCTAATAATCCTAATCTTCAGTATCGTTGAGCTGCAGCACAGAAGTCTAAACCTCCAGCAAAGACTCTTGTACAGCTGTTCGTCGCCTCCGTCTCTTTGCTGATGACACTCTGTTATTCACGTCTAACTCTTTAACTTCATGGCTTCATGACTCATCACACGCTGAGTGTTTCTCTTGCTGCCTTCAGATGCTGAACGCTCTGCTGATTCTCCTCCTCATTCCCGTCTTTGACCTCGTCATTTATCCGCTCGTTGGCTTCTGCAGAATCAACATCACGTGAGTAGAAGCCTGTTGTTGTGTAAAACTCCGTCTTTTATTGGAGACATGAAGCCTCTTCGACTGGACGATGAGCCTCGTGACTTTGAATCAACGGTGAATTAAAGAGTTGACTGTTTGTTCCTGCAGGCCTCTGAGGAAAATGGCCACAGGAATGATTTTTGCATCGCTGGCCTTCATAGCGGCTACGCTGGTGGAGGTGCACGTCGTGGTGCGTATAAGAGCAGCCGCCATGACTCCTTCCTGTTGTTACACACATACACACACACAGAGGTTCACCTGTAAGCAAGCACACCTGCACAGAACACAAGAAACACACCTACACAGAACACAAGATACACACCTGCACAGAACACAAGAAACACACCTGCACAGAACACAAGAAACACACC